GTTTCAAGAAATATTTCTCACTCACAACAGGAAAACAGAAAAACATACTAACTCAAAGGCAATGGTAATATTTCTAACATTCAGTCCTGTATGATGGTGCCTCTCCTCAGCAAGACTCTAAACAGCTTTAATGAAAATGAATCTAAACATTATTTAAACTGTTTACTTTTTAATATTTGTGTCAGCCTGTGCAGTGAAAACAGAATACCCTGCTTTGTTTTTATCATGAATTTCTCAGTCTATACTGTAACACTTAAGTAGCAAAAAATTAGAAGAAAATACATTTAATTTCTTGAAAATACATTCAACTGAAATTAAAACAAATTAACATTCACTGAAACACTTCTTTAAATGTGATATTCTTTAAACATTTCCTTTATTTTACTTAATAATATGCATCCAAATCGCACCAAAAACTATCAACTGAAGAGATTTGTACAATATTATATGTCAAAGGAAGCCAGCAACAAAACTACAAGTGACTTTCTGATTCCTGGTCTTATGATTCAAACTGATAAGTCCTGCAGGAATTAGGAAAGTCAAGATAAAGTGAAAATTTTGAGCATCTTATAAAAGCATCTTATAACATTTTCAGCATCTTATTCTATTGTTTATGCTGAACACATTCTTTGAACGTGTGCATTACATTTTCATGGGGGTTTTTTTATCATCCTCATATAGTAAAGACTAGGCAGGAAGATTTTTGTGCTCAAAATAAAAAAAAACCCATGACATTTTTGCAAGGCTGTCTTGAAATAAAAGCAGTCATAATACAGTTTTCCCTTGCTTTCAGAAATCATAACTTGGTCACTTCATGCATATAGCTTAAGGCAGAACAATTACGACTATATATTGGAGATTCGATCTAAAGGCTACAATATTCATAATGAATCAAAATGATATGAGAATCAGAAAAAATGGAATTATGGATTCATGATTTTATCTCTATGAATCTAAATTAAATCACTACATATTACTGAGTTAAATATATTCGAAAGATTGGAGTTGAACTGATAGCTACAAATGTATATTTGATTAATGTTGGGTATATTGCATGGCAGTTGAGTATGGTGTTTTGGAGGAGCCTGGAAAGTTTATTTATTTATTTACTTAAAAAAAAATATTGAGTCGAGCCAGTTGATACAGCATCAGAATCTTAACCTAAGGATTAAGATGCTGAGACCCTGTTCAGGCAGTAGCTGCAGCACATGACCAAATGTCAACTTGTGATAAGAAACAGCCAAATTGGCTCACTCTCTGTGCTCTTGCTGGCAGGTGGCCTGCTTCATCTTCAAAAAGAGCTCCAGAGATGATCCTGGGATCTACAGACCAGTTGGTTCAGCCTCATGTGCATTAATTTGGTATCCCTAGATAGTGCATCTACACATGCATTAATATGCTCTAGTTAATGTGCATTAAATCTAGTACCTCCATTGTGATGTACTAGGAAAGTGCATATTAGCCTGTCTTAATGTACATTAACTAAATAACACCATTTTTAAGTGATGCTTAATGTGCTTTAGCCTATTTTAATGTGCATTAACTAAATAACATGTTTTTTCACTGACACTTTAATGTACATTAAAATAGATTAATGCACATTAAAACACGTGTGTTGATGCACCCTCACACTGGAAGTACTAAATTTAATGTGCATTAGAAAAGGTACATTAATGCTTGTGTAGATGCACCCAGTGAGTCTCATTTCCATCCCTGGCAAGTTGGTAGGAACTCTTAAAAAAACCCCCAAGATCAGCAGGCATGTGGCCAAATATTATCTTCTGAGGAAGAGTCAGAATGACTTTTGTAAAGAGAAATCCTGCCTCACCAAACTGCTGGAGTTCTTTGCGGGTGTCAACAAGCAAATGGGCAAGAGGCATCCAGTTGGCATACAATATATTTGAACTTTCTAAAATCCCAAGCTGATGGAGAAGAGCTGTTGAAAGATCTCACCACACTAAGTGAGTGAGCAAGACAGTACAGTAGCAAGGAGGGGAAGGTGGGGCAAGCAGGGTGACTGCCCTGGGCACTGAAGTGGAGGGGCACCAACAGGCATTGCCCAGCCAGGGTGGGGTGGGGCATGGGATGGAGCTGTGAGCAGCTCATTTGCAGGGTGCAGGGACCAGGGTGGTGGGGGAGGGGCAGCTCCTACCACTGCATGCCTGTGCCTCGAGATTTGTGGTCAAGGGCGGGATGCTGCTGCAGATTTTGCTCTGGGTGCCAAACTTCCTTTCCATGGTACTGGGGCAAGAGAATGGCAGAGGAACTTCAGTGTCAACAATTTAAGGTAATGCACCAGGGGAAAAATAATCTCAACTATACATACACAGTGCTGGGGTCCAAACTAGCTGTTACGATTCAGAAAAGATCCCTTAGAGTCATTGTAAATAGTTCTCTATAAAAATCAGCTCAGTGTGCAGTGGCAATCAAAAAAGTCAGTAAAATATTGGGCATCATTAAGAATGGAATTGAAAACAATACAGAGAACATCATTATACCCTATGCAAATTCATGATGTGTCCACATCTTGAATACTGTGTGCAGTTCTGGTCCTCACATCTCAGCAAGGATGTAGTAGGATTACAAAAGCTACAGAAAAGGGCAACCAAAATGATCAGGGGCATAGAGTAGTTGCCATCTCAAGAGAAACTAAAAAGGCTAGGACTCTTCAGTTTGTAAAGGAGAAGTCTGAGGAGGGATATGATAGAAATTTATAAAATCATGAAGTGTATGGACCAAGCAAACAGGGAACTGTTGTTAACTAAGTCCTAGAATAGTAAAACTAGGAGGCATACACTGAAATTAGAAGGTGACAGGTTTAAAATTAACAAGAGAAAGCACTTTTTTACCCAATGCATATTTAACTTGTCGAATTTGTTGCCACAGGAGGTCATGGAAGCAGATAACATAGCCAGGTTCAAAAAGGGATTAGGCCATTTAATGGATGATAAGTCTATGAATGGCTATTGAACAGAATAGTTGGAAATGTTTCCACTGACATCTCTAACCTGATAAATGGTGGATGCCAGGGGGAGAATTGAATAAGGGATAGATCACTCTAGAGATATCTGGGTCAGTGCTCTCCCTTTATAACATATATTTCTGCCACTGTCATGCAGAATACTGGGCTGGATGCACCATTGGGACTTCATATGTTATGATTAGAAGCACATAAATGCTCATTGGGGGTAACACTATATTCTTTCATAATTGTTTAAATGTCTAGATTTGGACATCCATGTGGCAAAAATGCCACTTATACCCAATAGATTTATATTCCTGGACACATAGCCAACTATGTACAAGCTTAGACTGGGTATACAAACTAACAAGAAAGTAAAAGGGACTTGTTAGACATTAGCATTCCCATAGAATTAGCATTCTAAGGCACTTAGAAAGACTAAGTGCCTTTTAAGTATCTCCAAGTTACTCCTATTCAAGTGAGGATTATCTCCAGCTTGTGTTAAGCAGATCATGTTCCAGTAACATCCGTTTGCTCCACTGGGGCAATAGGAACAATTGGCAGTCCTCCAAAATACTAGGATGCACTGCTTCCAGCATCCCTCACATGGACAATCTGTTTTCCAGACCTCTACTGCCCCAGGCTCATAGAGAGCTGAGGTATCAGTTGAGGGCAGCCTCAGGTGAGTGAGGAGCCATGGGGAGAAGGGGTGAGCAGGAAACCACTTGGGAGCTGCGAGAGAGCTGTACAGAGAGATGGGTAAGTGGGAAGTTGCTGGCAAGCTGCAGGAGAGCCACTAGTCAGCAGGGAACCATGAGGGAGCCCGGGGGGATGCACAGGAGCGCTGCAGGTGAGTGGGAAGCCACAGGGGAGCTGAGGAGTTGAGCAGCTATGGGGCAGATTTGGCAGCCCCTAACCCCACCACTATTCACCAGCCCTCTGGTGGCAAGCTACAGTTATGCACATCAAAGAGGGTTTAACCCTTAAAGGATGACTATTCACAGTGGGCTTGTCTACACATGTGCTTTTAATGTGCTGTATCCTATTTTACTGCACATTAAAGTGTTGTGTAAAAGAAAGTGTGATTACACTAGTATGCAGTAAAATAGGCTACTGTGCATTAAGCATCACTTAAAAACCATGCACATTCGTCACTCTGGATTAAGGCAGCCTATTGTGCACTTGTTTAGTGCCTCACACTGGAGGTACTAAATTTAATCTGAATTAGGAAAAGATCCTTAATGCACATGTAGACGCACCAAGCATGTTCTACCTTTTTTTTGTTGTTGATTATTTGAAGCTAAGCATAGGGGTAGAAAAGAAGGGAGAGCCAGGATAATACAGTGCCAAGAAACCCACACAGACAAATGCACACACAGAACAAAGAGTTTTATAGAAAAAAGCTTTTAAAATTCCCATTCATTTTGGTCACTGATGAAACGTAAGCTGATTTGGCAAAAGTTCTAATTGCTTTATGTCAATGTTTAAAAAAAAAACAGACACCTTCAGCTAAAGAAATGACCAAATCACAGTTGGGAAATGAACTGCTGAGATAGATAGATAGATAGATAGATAGATAGATAGATAGATAGATTGGTGGATTTTCCAAACAGATTTTGCTATATGACAGAAGTCAGGAGTATATGGATATGATTTTGGCAAGATGTCACATCTGCTGTAGAAACCTTTGTAACCTTACAGATCTTATGAATGTCTTTTCACTAGTTGATTTAAGATAGTTTTCTAGTTTTATGAAGAAAACAATAAATGCAAAACTCAGTATGGCCCTTTGATCTGACTGAGCTAGGATTCTTACTAAAAGATTTATTGCTTTATGTGAATGGGATCCCTATGAAAATCTAAGGCTCTGATTGTTTTATTCACTGGTAGAACTGTAGTTCTATCAGTTTGTCTACAGGCAAAGATTTCCTTTCTGACAAGAACAGACCTGAGAAGAGCAAATCAATCATTGACTAAGAGGACTGCTGCTAACCAGAAAAACTTATACTTTCCTTTTGCTGACAATGTGACAGCCTTTGGACATGGAATGAGAAACACAGCAGTTTTCATTCGAGCTCCATTTATACAGCTGTAAAAGTCAAGTGACATGCATTTTAGGCCATGGAATAATTAGAAAATTTTTAAGGAACATTAGAGAAGGAAAAAGGAGAAAACTATCAACTATGTGACCTAAAAAAGAAGGTGAATATAATTATGATTACTTCTTTACTCCTTCATGACTACTTCTTGACAATATGTTCTGTGTGCATATGAAGTAAGGAGGGTCTGTACAGTAAGGGATAGGGAAATCCTGGCAGCTTAAGTACCTATAGTGTCAGTGTAAAAATTATTGAAGAATATTCCAATAGGGGTGTGTGTGTGTGTGTGTGTGTGAATTCACATGCTAGACAGGTTCATGAAATATTTCTGGGTACAATGGTTGGATGGCATTAATAAAAAATCACAGTTTAATATGTTACCATAAATACGATTCTGTGTAATGTTTCCTGAAAACATGGTTACCCTTTGACCTGTGTTTCAGCAGAGCTAGGCTTAAATGTACAAGAGAAGCTGTAATTCTGAAATAAATCATTTACTGTCAGTGGTCTTTGATAAAGAAAAGTATCCATTTTGTGCATACGTTGTTTTTCTGTGTGTGTCTTGTTCAGGAGGATTTGTGGGGGGAGTATTCTCAGTGCATAGGGAATGTTCAGAGATGATAGGGCAAACTTCTCATAATGTCTGCTGTGGAAATGCAACTGGCAATTTTCTTGTCCTCTATTTTCTTTTCCAAATAATCCAGGTACTTGAAATGGCTATCAGATTTGAAATCCCTGCTACAAATCATGGAAATGATAGAGTGCTCCAAAAAATCACGACAAATATGAGTTAACATTGGGGGAAATGACTAACTTGTTTTGTTTTGGGGTTTTTTTGTTTGTTTTCTTAATCAGCCAAGTGCATTTACTGGAACATTCAAAGTGTTACATGAGGGAGAGTAAGGGACTCCTGTGCTACACAGAAGTCTGTATTATGCTGACAACGGAAAGGAGGTTCTCTTTGGAGGTGAACAAAACAGAGTAATGGGTATTGTTCTGTCTGCAGAGTCAGAGATAGGAAAAATGTCCGAAATGATTAAATAGTTCTGGGATTCAAAATATTTCAGTGACACTCAGGATTAGAGTATGCTATCCCTTTACTACAGGTGCAGTTTGTGCTACTGCTGAGAAAGCTTACAAATACCACTACTTACAGAGAAAGCAGAACTCTGGATACATGTCCCACCTACATGGTCTACCTGGTTAGCTCCTGGCAGCTTTCCATTCTTCTGCTGAGTTCATACTTAAGACAGTTCCCTATTATGTGCACTGCTTTGAACAGTCTGAAATGACTTCATGACTTTCTTGTTCCTCCTGCTTCATTAGCATTCTACAGGTTTCTGCTTCACAGATGAGGATTGTCTGTTAAATCAGTTGGAGAATTTTACAGGACCATGTGACTGTTCTTGTGTGGTTTAAATCATGCTTCAAGTATTAATTATTTCCTTCACTCACAGAATATTATTACTGACATAAGTGATTCAAGTCAAGATATTCCCCACCATTTCCAAACTTAATTGATACTATATTTTCATATGAAAACATATGAACATATGATATGCCCCAGAATATAATGCACATTTGTTTTTGAAAGACAGAATGAAATAAAATATTTTTCCTTGCAGAAAATAACTGAACAGCAGCAATGGCAGACGCTGCTCATTATTTTGCTCCCTGTGAGTCATGTGCAGATTTTTCTTTCACTTTTACCCATAAGAGGCAAAAAGTGTTCTACCCATATTTCCCATACGTACAGTGCCCTCCATTTCCTTGCTGGTGTTTTCTGGAGGAAAAAAGTGTATGTTGCATGTGAGAAAATATGATATCTATACATTCCTTTGTTTAAGAATTGTCAGAGAATGACTTTGGTAAATAGGCTTCAGTAACAGGAAAATATGATTATCTCTTTGAAATGAATTACTACAGATTTTAGAATATTGTAACTTACTCTCTTATAAAACTGAAATATTTATCTTTGTCCTAAATCTGTGCTGAATGTTGTGTTCATGTGTAATGGGATTTAGTACAATGTATTTTCAAGCTTTGGTTCTTAATTGGAACTCACCGGGTGTGTCTACATGAGATGCTTTACTAGAGACTACAGCAAATTATTGCTCAGTTAGCGATACTGTCTACACATGCAGATACTTATTGCACAGTATTTTGCTTTAATCATAAGTAAATTTGCTACCTAAAAATACAAGTAGCACATTTTCTTGGGGATAATTACTGCACAGTATGGCACATGTAGATGGCCAACTAGGAACAAATGGGCTCCCAGTGACCTGGGCAGCAGGGGGTGGGAGATTGCTCCCTGGCTATGGGAGCTGCCTGGTGCAAGGGTGCCCTCTGCCACCAAAGCCTGGGGGACAATGTCCCTCTGCCTTGGCAGCAGGGAGCTCCCAGCCCCCACTCCCCGATTGTGGAGTGAGCCCTGTGAGGTTCTTATCCCCCAGTAACAGCTGTGCAGCTGGGAGCCAGTCAAAGAAGGTTTCTAGACTAAGGTTGTGACTGCCCCAAACCCCAAGCTAGCACTAAGACTGATCTACATTTGTGCTGCTCATAGTGTAAGGTGTAACAAGACCCATACTTGCAGATGAAAAGGGCTACAAAATGAACAATGATAATTTAGCTTTAATATGACTTAGCTCTAAACATCTTTAAATTAAAACATCAAAATATTTTATTCATATACAATTGCTTTACATTTTATTAGGATTTCCTTTGACTTTGAAATCTTACCTGTCCAAAATTTTTGATACTAGTTGCATCATTTTGAAGAAACAAATTTGTCCTGGGAGGAGCTGCCTGCTGCCATGGTGGGCTCAGCCACCATAGCCCGAGTGGAGCCAATGTCCCCCTTCCCTGGCAGCAGGGAGCTCCCAGCACCCGCTCCACTACAGGTACAAAATTTAGTCACAAGTAGCATCATTTACTGCACAGTAAACTATGCTACTGTGTAGTAAAGCATCTTGTAGACACAACCAGTATATTCTAAAGGATATGTTGTGAAGGCAAAATGCTATGAATTTAACTTTAGAAAGCATTCTATTCACAACTGTTAGTTAAAGTAGAATTTATTAATGGGGTTTAAAGGGAAATGTTCAACAGGTGTAAGTCCCTCATGGAAATTTGGCCCCTGCCTTGCCAATTTTATTGGGAGAAAGATGTTTGAACAGAGTGCCAATGGAGACAGTCAACAATTGTGCTTCCAAGAGGTAGAAAAATGGAGGAACAGGCTTGGCTATCCTTAGATTTTTCCCCTTCCTACTCTATCGAGAATGCATGAAAGACTGCCTACTTATGGGATGGAAAAGGAAAGTTTACTAAGGTTTTCTTGTTTGTGAAGCTCCGTTAAAGGATGCCCTAGTCATACTAGTATGACTGCTTGACCTTCCCCTTTACTTTGAAACAGAGGTACAGTGTGAGTCTGAATGGTACTATGCTGCAAGTCTTTCATATTACCAGATTTGGGGATCAGAAAATATTTTTTTCCCTTTTGGGAAAGACAATATTTGGTGGTTTGCCTGCCTTCCTCACAGGATTTCTAAGGGATGTTATAGAGTGAACACGGTTTTAAAGCTGTAAGTTTTTAAACAGTAGTTTGTAATTTTGTTGAGACTTGCACCAAGTGTTCAGTGCATAGAATCATAGAATATTAAGTTAGGAGGTACTTCAGGTCATCTAGCCCGACCCCCTGCTCAAACCAGGACCATCCCCAACTAGATCATCCCAACCAAAGCTTTATCTAGCCAGGTCTTAAAAACCTCAAAAGATGAAGTTTCCACCACCTCTCTGGGTAACCTGTTCCAGTGTTTTACTACCCTCCTAGTGAGGAAAATTTTCCTAATATCTAACCTAAATTTCCAACTTCCCTTTCTGCAGCTTGATGCCATTGCTCTTTGTTCTGCCATCTGCCACCACTGAGAACAGCCTAGCTCCATCCTCTTTGGAACCACCCCTCAGGTAGTTAAAGGCTGCTATTAAAACCCCTCTCAGTTTCCTCTTCTTTAGACTAAATAAAACCAGTTCCCTCAGTCTTTCCTTATAAGTCATGCTCCCCAGGCCCCCCACCATTTTTGTTTCCCTCCACTAAACTCTCTCCAATTTGTCCATGTCCTTTCTGTAGTGGGGGGCTGAAAACTGGATGCAGTACTCCAGATGTGGCCTCACCAGTACAAAATAGAGTTGAATAATTATTTCCCTTAATTTGCTGGCAACAATTCTACCGATGCAGCCCAATATGCTGTTTGCCTTCTTTGCAACAAGGGCACACTGTTGGCTCATACTCAGCTTATTGTCCACTATAACTCTCAGGTCCTTCTCTGCAGAGCTGCTGCCTAGCCAGTCAGCCCCCAGGCTGTAGCAGTGCATGGGATTATTCTGTCCTAAGTGCAGGACTTTGCATCTGTCCATGTTGAACCTCAAGAGATTTATTTTAGCCCAATCCTCCAATTTGTCTAGGTCACTCTGAATTCTAGCTCTACCCTCCAGCATATCTAGTATTCCCCACAACTTGGTGTCATCTGCTAACTTGCTGAGGGTGCGCTCTATGCCATCTTCCAGGTTGTTAATGAAGACATTGAACAAAACCAGCCCCAGGACCAATCCCTGGGGTACTCCACTTGATACTGACTGCCAACTAGATATCAAGCCATTGATTATTACTCTCTTACCCTGATGCTCCAGCCAGTTTTCTATCCACCTTACAGTCCATTCATCCAGCCTGTACTTCCTTAGCTTGCCTGCAAGAACGTTGTGGGAGACCATATCAAAAGTCTTGCTAAAATCAAGCTATACCATATCCATTGGTCTTCTGAATCTACTGAGGCAGTCACCACATTATAGAAGGCAACCAGGTTGGTCAACCATGGTTGCCAATCCAAGAGCATTTTTTACAGGTAATCTGCAGACTTTTTATTGACAACCAAATGTTTTTACTTTGGTTGGTGTTGAGCTCTAAATTTGAATCTGGCCCTGGTCCAGGGCCTTGGCAGAAGGTTTACATTTACAGTTTGTAAAATAGGGGTTGCCAACCTGTCTCATGAGTGCTGCAAGTGGCTTTGGCAGCCTGTGTGTGGCACAAGGGAGATCAGGGAGAAG